CTCCCACCACCATCAAGAGCAACTCTCTGGACCATGACAAGCACCACATGAAGCCTCCTCTGCAACCCTCTTACCAGTTTTCGAATTCGGTCCAGGACCAGGTCAACAATCTCCTTGCCAATGGTATAATGACCTCTGGCATAATTATTGGCTGCATCTTCCTTCCCAGTGATCAGCTGCTCTGGGTGGAAGAGTTGCCTGTAGGTTCCAGTGCGCACTTCATCTAGAGAGACCATATGGGCCATGAGTCTTTCAAGGCAAGGGCCATGCAATTCTACTGTGCTTATATGTCAACAGCATCTCCTAGTTTGTGGTTATACGTGGTTATATTCAGTTTCTCCCCCAACAAAGTCACAAGCACACATCTGTACAGCTGTACACTCTGCAGAGATGTCAGCAGGTTTTCCTGAGACACTTACGCTCTCCCAGGAAAGCTGCCACCCTGACCCAGGCACCTACCGACCACAGTGGGCTCCAGGTCCACAAACACTGCTCTGGGCACATGCTTGCCAGCTCCGGTTTCACTGAAGAATGTGTTGAAGGAGTCGTCCCCGCCACCGATGGTTTTGTCACTTGGCATCTGACCATCAGGTTGAATACCATGTTCAAGGCAGTACAGTTCCCAGCAGGCATTGCCAATTTGGACACCTGCCTGCCCCACGTGGATAGAGATACACTCACGCTGGAATCCAGAACAGAAACAAGACCTTCATTCACTTGAAGTTGTATGACATACCAACCTAATTTTGTGTAGCGCCACAGTGTCTTTTCCACACTTTATTTACAGCAACGCTCAGGCATGCCTTTATCTCTATCAAAACTGACTCCACCAAGTGCGGTTGCACAGGCCATAATAATCCCAGCACTGAGAAGAAAGATTAGGTTCAAGACCAGCCCTATCCCAAGACAAACACACACAGAGAGATCAAACAGCTTGGGTTGCTCTAAACCTGCCCTATTTGGATATAGTTTCACTGACCCTGGCTGGCCTCAAACCAGTGGCAATCCTCTTGCCTCAGCCCCTCAAGTGTTAGGATTATGGCAGTAAGCCCACACACCAAGCTAGCCTTCTGTGAAGTAGCAGTTAGCCCCAGAGTGTCTGCTACTCTCCAAACGCTTTCAAGTTTAAGGGCTCATGAGGGAGAGTTGAAGCAATTCTCTGAAGAGTATCCGGTTTTAGTTGTGGCCAACTAAAGCAGAGATACTCCAGGAAGGAGAGGAGTAGGTCCCAGGTCACCCAGTCCAACCCGGCAGTTATGTGTCTTCCTTCTGCCCGTCTAGGCCACCGTTTATCACTCTCCATCCATTCTGTACCAGGAAGCTGACTCAGGAACACATCTGAGTTAATATTCTTCATAAAGATACCATTCTGTTTAGTCACTTTACTTTCTGGAATGTAACATTCCCAGACAGTGAAGTATTGAGATGCTAGTCTATCCTGAATCTTTTCTTTATTCAGAAATTTAAGGCAGGGATTCGTCATAACCCAGGCTGGCCTCAGTATACATAGTGCTAGGATTATAGGCTTGTGCCACCATATCCAGCTATGGCTTCTTTAACCCTCTTTTGATTTTTGATTTAACCTTTTTGGATTTCACCCAAGTCATCATTTTGAAAGGAGTGCTTTCATGCCAGGACCTAACTACACCCAGTAGCCACCTGTCCAGTTTTAAACAAGTCACCCACACATATGCAGAGATCAAATGCAGTTGTCAGGATGTCACATCACACGTTCTAGAGGTTTGCTATCTGTGGCCCATGGACCAAACATGACTCAGGATAGCTATTAATGTGGCTATGAACTTAGTTAGAAAATGACCTTTTTCTTTATAAATCATGGGGTCTTGAGCATAACTTTACGAAGGATAACACTGTATTGCATGTCATGCAAAGTGTATGCATGCTCGTGCTGCCTGCACTCATGGTGCGGCTGCAGTTATAAACTGCTGGCATGCACCTTCTGGCGTGCTATCTTCCGAGTGCAGACAGTTGAATTAGCCCATCAGCAGTTACATATGTTTCTGATCAACTTTAAAAAACAAAACAGCGATGGTTTTATCCCACAGAGCAAACAATAGGTGTTAGTTGATGTTCACAAGATAGGAAAGTATTCTTATTTGACAAAGTATTTTTACACCTTAGATAGGTGTCATGGATCCCCCACTGAGCTTACAATTGGCTCTTCTGTGCTGCACCACAAGCCGGAAAGGCCCAAACTTTGCTATCTATTTTCCTGTCAATTTTCTTTCTTTTTTGTTTTGAGACAGGGTCTCACTGTGTTGCTCTGGTTGTTGACTAGAACTCACAAAGATACTTTCCTCCACCTCCCAGGTGCTGGGATTAAAGGTATATGTCACTACGCCTAGCCACCAATTTTCTTAATAAAAGAAAATACAGGGCTGGCGTATGGCTCAGTGATGAAAGGCACTGACTACCAACCCCTCCTGCAGTCTTCTGAGCCCCACTGCAGCCATGTGCACATTCATGCACATAAGTAAATAATGCAAAAATGAAGCAAATACAGTGCCTTATCTACTATTTATAAAATCCCAGCAAGGCTTTTATGTCTCAAAAATAAACAGAACCCCCCACACACACACCAGGAAAAAACTGCAAAAACTTCTTCAATGAAAACAAGACAGATATTTTTTGAAGCAAATATACAAAGATTCTATATAATTTATAGGGAAGTTGTGCAAGTTTTCAAAAGTTAATTTTGAAAAATTAAGGCATATACAAAAACACCGTGTTGGTTATTTCTGTCAGCTCGACACCAACTAGAGTCACGCGGGAAGGGGCACCATCTGTGGGGCAGTTTCTTATTAATGATTCACACGGGAGGGTCTGGCCATCTTAGTCAGATAGGCCTGGGCTGTGTAAGAAAGCAGGCAGAGCAAGCCAGTAAGCAGTGTTCCTGCGTGGTCTCCTTCAGTGCCTGCCTAGGTGTCCCTGCTGAAAGACAAACTTTCATCATGCAAGCTGCTTTGGTTAGCATGCTAGCACAGCAACAGAAAGCAAACCAGATAGAACATGCTACCAAGTTCCACGCAGATAAGGCTAAGAGGACTGAAATGTCCTCTCAACAATTTAATGAAAAAATGATGAAGCCAGGCGTGGTGGCACACGACAGTTACCAGCTCAGTCAGGAGACTGAGGCAAGAGGACGAGTGAGGCTGGCAAGGATCAGGAGACCGTGACACAGGCCCATCTAGACCTAGCTCTTATCTGGCATTTGTTAGCAAGTGTTACTTTTAAATGAATGCAAGTATTGGAAAAGGTTCCCTTCTTCCGGCTGGGGAGGCTAAGAGAGGTCCTTGCAGAGGGAATTCACCACCGCCTAACTCCATCCAGCTCCTGCCTGTTCAGTGCCCTCTTCCAGCTTCTCTAGGAAACTGCACTCTTGAACACATACTTCTCACAGACACTCTACACACAACTGAAAACAAATCTTAAAGATTCTATTCTACTTTTCCCTCTTGTAAGGTCTTGCAGCCTATGTTGGCCTCAAACTCACTAACTCCGCCTACTCTGGAATGTCTAATTTTCCCGCCTTAGCCTCCGTTGTGTTGGGATTACCGCATGCCACATGCTCAGCTCTACTTTCTGGTGGGAACACACAGTACCGCTTACAAACCCCATACCATGACCACCGGCAGCTGGCACCAAGCACACAAAGGTTCTCTAGGAAGCTGGGTGGAGCAGGTGGCAAACTGAATCCCTACACCTGTAGGTGATCTTAAAATTCCAAACAAAGGCTCTTTGGGGTCGGCAACTTTTACTTTTCCCATGGTGAGCATTAGACCAGAAAGCTTGGTAGCTACTAGAATCTTCTGGAACCAACGCCATGGCTTGTTCCCTCACTCAAGGGCACTGGCAACCGGAAAACACGAGACAAATGCTCTCTCTCCAAAACCTTTCTGCCACCCTCCTTTTTGTCTTTTCTGAAGCTTGGAATTCTAGCCTCGAACTCTTGCCCAGCCTCTTTGGTCAGTATCTGCAGAGCTGGGACTCCAGGTGGGGGCTGCACCCCAAGGGGAATCCCGTTCTCACGAGAACCTGAGCTCAACGAGGACCCTGGAGAGGGAGGTTGCTGCAACCTCTGGACTCCGAAGCCCTCGATCACTCCCCCTCACCCTGGCCGGCCCTGGCTCCTCACCCCCCAGGTCCTTGCTCCCCCCCCCCCCGGCCCTGGCTCCCCCCAGGTCCTCGCTCCCACCCCTGTTCCTCATTTCCCCTTCCCGGCCCTGGCTCCCCCCCCCCAGGTCCTCGTTCCCCTCCCTGGCCCTGGCTCACCCCTCCCCCATCCTCGCTCGGCCCCGCTCCCGGGCCCTGGCTCACCCCCCCCAGCTCCTTGCTCACCATCCCTGGGGCCTTGGCTCACTCCCCAGCCCCGCCCTGGCTCACCCCCCCAACCCAGCCCTGGCTCGCCCCCAAGTCCTTGTTCATTGTCCCCGAGCCTAGCTCACCTCCCGGGGCCTAGCTTACCACCCCAGCTCCTCACTCACCCTTCCCCCAGCCCTGGCTCCCCCCCCCCCCCCCCCCCCCCCCCCCCCCCCCCCCCCCCCCCCCCCCCCCCCCCCCCCCCCCCCCGCCGAACCCCCCACTCTGAGGAGGAGATGGCGGTGTCTCTCCAGCAAGCCCACCCAAGTCTAGGGTTGCTCTCACCATGTTGGACTCCTAGCACCTCAGTCGTCCCTCAGCACGGATCCTAAACCGCCTCTCTCGAGCGCCTAACGGTTTGAGCAAGAAGCTCGGGTAATTAACGAGCTCGCCCTGGATGCTCATTGGTCCAGAGCACTTTGGGGGCAGGCTTAGGTCTCATATCCCACCTATGATTGGATGTAGCTAGAATTGGTGCGCTGGCACTTGCTGATTGGAAGTGGCTTTGGCGGGAAGCCTCTGGAGTGGCTGAGGCTCCGCTTGAGATTGGTGGTCTGCGCAGGACAAGTGGGGTGCTCGGGCTTCGCGAGTCTGCGCATGCGTGACTGAGGGAGGGCCCTGCGGCAGTGCACCCTGGCGGGCCTGTAGCCTTGCTATGCCTCACCTTGCCTCATCTCGCCTGGTGCGGAAACGCTACTTGGCCACGCCGGGGAGACCTGCAGATGGTGATTCTTCAGGAGACGTGAGTGTCTGGGCTCCCGTGGGGTGCTGCCGTGGAACCTAGCGCCGGTTTGGGAGTCTGGGACCAGTCGCCTGTTCTCACCTTATTTCCGTGCGAGACGAGGTTGGAAGGGTGGGGTGTGCAGCTCCGGCTGACCTCCGAGTCTTTGCAGTCCTGCCGGTCAGCCCCCCTCAGAGCTGGGCCTGTAGACATGCACTGTGCGTGCGCGCATTTTGGGGGAAACACAGTTTAGTGGATATACCTTCCTTTCTCGGGATATCTAGCCACACATCATTGAGGTGTAGGCTGTAGCATGTTGTGACTTTTGAGGATTATGTGACACCCCAGTAACCAAGAGTGGACCTGAACTTTCAGTCCTCCTGTCTCCACCCCCTGAGTGCTGGGCCTGCAGTGTGGACCAGCAGCTCAGTGTATAGCGTGCTGGGGAGCAAACCCACGGCTTCAGACACGAGTGGAAAGCGATCTACCAAACCAGCTACAACCCCAGCCTCCAGGGCTGTTTCTAAGAAATGTTTGTTTTTCTGATTATGAGATTAGCACATTTGGAGTAGAAAGTGTGGGAAACGCGGAAATAAAGTTGAAACCATCAACTTTACAAGCTCAAGAGAGGCATGTCTGCTGCTTGTCTTTAATCCCCACGTGTATACATTGACAACTTTCTATGTAACTAGGACCAAACAGGAGTCTTAAAACCGCTTTCTTGAGAGTTAATTATACCACTATACAATTACTCTTTAATGTATGTGATTCTGTAAATCCGGGAACTTCTGGGCTCAAGTGGCGCTCCTCCTCTGGTCTCCTGAGTGCCTGGCCAGCATGGCCACGCCACACTTGTTATTTTCCCATGGAAAGGAGTGAAGCACGGTTAATAAAAACTCAGAGAGAGGAATCAGGGTTCGAGCTGAAGGTCAGAAAAGCAAGTCCGAAAATGGCGGTCCTGTCTCCAGGAATCTCAGATGAGACTGTGTGTGAGAGATGTCTCTGTTGTGTCTGAATCCAGGAACCCCCAAGAAGACCACCCCGGAGCCACACTTCCGAGTGCAAAAGCAAGGTTTCCCTTATTAAGAATGGGCTAGCACGGGTCCTTTGCCTCACGGTCTGACACCTCAGATGGGGGGAGAAGGACCCTGTCTGTTGTTGTAAGGGTTTATAAAGACAAAAACCACAAAGCAGTCACACGTTTACAGTTTCAAAGTACAAACTTACTTCTCCTATATCATAATAGGCTATAAAGGTGAGGTAAAGCTTAGCCATTAGCTTCTAATAGGCTGTTAGTTTCTAAGGGGAGGAGCAACAGCCCCCTGGTTACATCAGCTAGACATCTGCTGACTCTGTGCTAACTGCAGGGGCTGCTTGAAATATCGCCCAGCTGATAGGGGAAGCTGAGCGGGGGAATGGGCTGCAGTCAGCAACTTTATGTAACTTAGGTTTCTCCATTAGCTAATACTTCCTCTAAAGAGGGGTCCTACAGCCTTCAGCTTGTCCTGGGGGCGACTTTCAGCTCTTCTGCAGCCTTTAGCTTATCCTGGGGGTGGGGTATAGTTCAAGGTCCCAAAAGGGCCCAGCACAAAAATGGAATCTTCTCTGGTCTTTCAATCTCCTCCCATCTTACATTCCTCTCTAGTGCTGGATTAAAGGTGTGCACTACTACTGCCTGGTTTCTGTGGCAACTGGTGTGGCTACTGGGATTAGAAGGGTGTGTCCCCACTGCCTGGTCTTTAAGGCTGACCCAGTGGGGCTGTTTCACTCTCTGATCTTCAGGCAAGCTTTATTTATTAAAATACAAATGAAATATCACTACAGAGGAGTATTTATTTTGGCTCATAGTTTGAGGGTATAGCTGTCATGGTTGGGAAGTCATAGCTGCAGATTTTCTTATGTTAAATTTATTTATTTTGTGAGTCAGAGTCTCATGCATCCAGGCTGGTCTTGAACGTGTTGTACAGTCCCGGACAGTCTAAGACTTTTGATCCTCTTGCCTCTTCCTCCCGAGTTCTGGTAAGATAAAGCTGTGTAACCGCACTCAGTTTATGTGCTGCTGAGGATCAAACCCAGTGCATCTTCCGTGTCAGGCAGGCACCTACCGTGTTCCAGGTCAGTAGGCACCGATCTTTCCATGTGTCCTAGTTAGCGTTAACTGTCAACTTGACACAGCCTAGGAGTGCCTGAGAGGGAAGTCTCAGTTTAAGGATTGGCCAGATCCCATAGGCTTGTCAGCATATCTGTGCGGGGGGTGAGGGTGGGGTGGGGTGTCTTTGTTGGTGGCTGATGTAGAAGGGCCATGCCCACTGTTGGCAGCGCTGTTTCCTGGACTGTGACTAGGAAGTATAAGCCAAATAAATCTTTCCTTCCTGTTGTTGCTATTGGTCATGGCATCTGTTACGGCCACAGAACGAGCACATGCACCTCTGGTTACTTCTGTAGAGAGCTGAGTCAGTGGACTGGACTAAAGAGTGTGGGCAGCGTTCTGTCTCAGTGAATAGTGAAACGTTGCCTTCCAGAACATGATACATGCTGGAGGTGGGCCTTGTATCTTATCTGTTGCTTTCATTGGTTAATAATAAAGAAACTGCCTCAGCCCTCATAGGACAGAAAATTAGGTAGGTGGAGTAAACAGAAGAGAATGCTGGGAAAAGAAGCTGAATCAGGGAGTCGCCATGATTCTCCCACTCCAGACAGACGCAATAGGCCCAAAGCAGTTCCTTTATTAACCAATGGTAATCACAGCATACAGAGGGGACTCCCACACCAGGTGGGTGTTTGTGATAATGACACCCTGAGCCCTGGGAAAGGTTTTGGCTGCACCATGAAGCTCTAAATGTGGATGAAGGGTAACATCTGAGTAGTCAGAGTGATGCTGGGCAGACAAGAGCTGATAAACAGAGTAGTTGTTTGGTTTTTGCTTTTTACTCTTTTGGCTCTTTGGTCTGCCATCCAACTCCCAAATAAAAAACAGAGAGACTTATTAGTACTTATAAATGCCCAGCCTTAGCTTGTTCCTAGCCAACATTTATTAACTGAACTTATCCTGACTTGTTGGGAGCTGTGAACTCCCCCCCCCCCCCAGATCCTGAATTTCTGGTAAACAACTTGTAAGGCTTGCAGCTGCTCTGAGCAGGAGACCCTCAGGAGTTCCTGATGGCAGGGGTGTGGTTTCTGGTGGGTTTGGCTGGGGCATGGCTATCAGTTAAGGATCTCTATATAAGCGGCTCTGGTACACAGTGAAAGGGGCATTCTTGGGGCATTCTTGGGGCATTCTGTATCTCTGTCTGTGAGTCTTTGTGTGTTTCAGTCTCCAGCCCCTTGCCCGGCTCACGAACTGTATGGCGGTGCATAGAGCGCAGACGGGTGTGATGCGCCACACTGACTACCTTTTCCTTTTCTCACTTCTGGGTGTCTTACTTTCACTCCACAGCCGCCGGGGTGGCTGGCTCCTAGTGTTCTCCTTGTTTTCTCTTGCTTGTTCCCTCTTCTCAGATACCTCCTTCTACTTGTCCTCTCTGCCTGCCAGCCCCATCCATCCCTTCTCCTGCCTTGCTATTGGCCATTTGTTACTTTATTGGACCATCAGGTGTTTTAAGACAGGCAAAGAATCACAGCCTCACAGATGTAAGCAGATGTGGCATAAACAAAAGCAACGCACCTTTACGTCATTAAACACATGTTCCACACATATACAAAAGTAACACATCTTAAAATAATATTCTGCAACAGAAAAATTGCTGTGGTAGCTGTGACCCCTGATGGAAAATCAGAATGTTCCTCTGTGGTTGGACATCTCTGAAGCTGCAATCAGGTCATTCCCACTATATCAGAAACTACAGTACCAGGGCATTTTCCCACACCTATGCAATCGTGGTGGGGGCTGCATTCCCAAAAGATTGGTGTCATTGTGATTTTGATGCCCCCTCTGTGGGCTTTTCTAGAGGATCATGTAAAGAAATCCCCTGAAATGGAGATCCAGTCAGCATGATTTGGGAGGGAAATAAGGTCACCTTACTCCAGCAGAATGCCACCCACATCATAAATATTCATACAATTTTCTTTAGAATTCACAACATGATACATTGGCTTGCTCCCTCCCTGGGGACAGCCTACTCCAGCTAGTCTCTCTTTGGAGGATTTGCTTAGCTTTGCTAAATTAAACTGTCTGAATTGATAGAGAGCTTGCTTGTCACACACGGGACCCCTGGTTCTGTCCGCAGCACAGCACAGAAGAGGCATGGTGTTCAGGCCTGTATTCTCAGCACAGGATCAGGAGCGGAAGGTTGTCCTTGACAGTGTGACCCCAGTCTGGGCTACAGGAACCCCTGTCCTACAGAACACAGAGAAAGGATGGGGGTTGGGGATACAGACCAGAAGAAATTAGGGGAGGGAAGACTTGGTTCCAGGAAAGTTTCCCTATTACATTTGAGATTGAAATTGACCATTAATTTCTTCACTACTGTTATCTTTTAATTTTATTGTACATAAATATCTTCATGTAGGGCTGAAGACAGAATTCAGACGGGAATGTACTGGTCAAAGCCTGATCTATGTTTTCCCGGTGGAATGCCCAGTGCCCAGAGTTGTGAGCTGGTTGTGTCCTGTAGAGAAGAAAGCACAGCTGAGGGACCAACGGGTAACACACCTGCAGCTGTCCGCGGGCTTGGCTGCCGCACAGCAAACTAGCATGTAGGACAGGCATCAGCAGAGCCTGCCCCCACTGTATGCGCTACTTAAGTTCTCAGAATGATTCTGATTTCTTTGGCTTAGAAACCAGGACAGGATCTCAGGACAGATGGCTTCATAATGAGTTTTTCTCCCCTTTAGGCTGCCGAGCAATTTGGAGATTGTGGTCGGCCTGGCCCCTGTCGCTATAGTTCAGGATTCAGCTTGAAGACTAGTCTGACACCAGGAAGGTGTCACCACCAGCAGCTGACGCTGAGCAGGTTTGGCACAGCAAGCATCCCGAAGCTGCAAGGGAGAGGTCTGCTCAGATAGCAGCTCCCCGACAAGTT